AGAATGTTGGTATGGATAAAAATGGATATGTTAATTAGCCTAAAATTAGTGAATATAGTCATACAATAGAAATTAATTAACAAACATATTACAGAAAGCAACTTGTTTTTGAGTTTTTTGCAAAACATTTCTAGTTTCTAGTTTTATATCTCAAAAGATCAAAAGGCTTTTTAGATTTTTCAAAAGTTATAAAATGTAGCAACTCATCAAACCGCACAAACCGCACGGCATAACGCGGTTTAGAACTTCTGCGGTGCGGTTTGTGGTTTCAAAAAAACTCAAACCGCATATGCGGTGCGGTTTGCGGTTTTAGACTTAAACCGCACCAAACCGCACCGCGCACACCCCTAGCGTATATATGTTGTTAGCCCACATGTTTATTGGCCCTTTAGGCTTTAGTGTATTAGGATGTGGTCTTAGGTAGTATTTATTATTTCCTTTCTTCTTTGTAGTTTTTTTCATTGTAAACCTTGTAATTTCTCTCTTTTCAATAATCATATGACAATATTATCGAAAATTTCTAGGGTTACTGTAGCCGTTTCATTTCCAATTTGTTTGATGCTCTTTCGCAGTTGATGTTCGTTTGCTTGTTGGTATTCGTTTGCTGTTGTTGTTAGTTTGTTGTTGTTCGATTGGTTGCTTCCGCTGATTTGTTGCGCTTCTCATTCTCTGATTGCTTATCTATTGTTGTGGTTATTTATCCATTGCCAATATGACTGGAAATGATGATTCCCTTCAGTCAATCACAACTAGATAGAAAGAATTATACGTATTAGAGTTATGTTATGAAAAACTTCCTTCGTGGTAAGAATATGTGGGGCTGTCACAGGTACTAAAGCCAAACTTTTAGTGTCTCAAGCTGAGAATTTCGATTTTTTGGTTGATGTTTGGGAGACTGATAACTCCAAGGTCATTACTTGAATTAGCAATTCTGTTACACAGTCTATTGGTATACAGTTGGCTAAATATAACAAGAAGTTTAGATAGCAACTACTGTATACAAACAGTAGGTACATAAATTTACAATTGAGAAAAAAAATTAGAAAAATTAGAAAATTTTATAGCTGCCTGTCTTTTTCCGTTCAAACTAAACCTCAAATATGTAACAAACATATATATTTTTTTATGTAAATTGAGGAAGATATAAAACATTATGTTATGTGAAATGAAATACAGTATTAGGATCATGTGATTCATCAACAATAATATCTAAATTCAAAATAACTCGAAATTTCATTGAAAATATATTCATTTCCTTAAAGTGCATATTAATTATTTTATTTATCATTTCATATTCAATTTCTCAATCAAAATTTTCATCGAAAAATTAAAAAACTTTATTGTAACTTTTTGCTAACTACTATTGTTTTATGAGTAAAGTTAAAACAAAAATTGATCACACAATGTTTAGGAAAAAAAAAAACAAATACAATCACAGGTAATAACTATTGATCAACAGATAAACAAATTCAATTTTAAAAAAAAGGATTAAAAAAAGTAATTATATATCTAGAATACAATTCCAAGTTGTTAGAAATGAACACATTAAATGATAAAATTTAGTAATTTATAACTAAATTAAGTTTTTAAAGAAACAGAGTTTCAAGTTTCAAGCAACTAAAGTTAACTTGTGCATTTGCTTGGCATAAAAAAAATGGAATTCGAATTCTATTCATACCATGGTGGATTAGTAAATATACCTTTGGAATTAGAATCCAAACACTGGGATAAATAATTATAATAATAACAATACTAATATTATTAATAATAATGGTAATACTAATAATGTAATTATAAAATATCGATAGCAGTAAGAAACAGAAAAATTACATATACAATTACAATTAAAGATAATAAAAACAAAAACAACACCATACCAATATCATATCATATCATAATAATTAGGGATGAATGCAAAGAGTAGAAATATAACAATGTACTTTCCCTCTGTTTTATTCAACTGAAATATCCTATTATATGAACAATGACATGATCATTCAAAATTGAATCATTCAATGCTCTAATAAGAAATTCATAAAAGATGAACAGGTCTTTAATGGATGAAACGAAACAAAAAGTATATAAAAAGTCTAGATAAAGATGAAGAAAAGAAACACTTAAAACTATACACCCAAAATCAAACAAAATGGTGTGATGATCAGAACTCTAACCACTTGGTGTAGTAAACACAGGTAGTTGGAGAGATGAGTCCATCAGGTGTACACTCTCTAATTCTTGGACAAACACCACAAGGAATTGACACCATTGCCCCTGTTCTCAAACCCTGAGCGGAATCCCCTGTTGTACATCTGTAACATACATTCCCAATAGGAATGGAATGGTATTCCCCCAATCCAGTACTCTTCACCTCTATAATCTTATTATCCAAAACCATAGACTTCAATATCTCACTTATTTGCTGACTCGTGCAATCAGTATTAATCAGCCCATTTTTAACAGAAAAATCATATACTCCATCAGCAGTTGCAGCCTTTAGCTTACGAATGATCCTGAGGCAAAGGTCTTTAAGACCATTAATGAAGTCCT